TTTGTCTTTTCGAATGAGATCTTTAAGCTTCATTTTCAAACAAGAGTGATTTTTTCCAGGTATTGAACGAAAAACTTTCAAGAAAAAAATTTATTGCTTTAGTACCAGTAATTATTTACACATAAATATAAATAATATAGAAAATGTTATTACAAAATATAATTTTAATAGGTCGTATTTATCAATTTATCATAAACTAAATTTATTGTTTACAAAGTTGAACGCCAACACAAACATCTAAATAAATAGTTGTACAAAAATAATAACCCTACATGTACATAACCATCTATCACTTACAAACCAAAGTTTTTTAAGTTCAGTTTTTAAATTGTACAAATCAAATTCAACAGCCGTTTAACAGAACTTGAAACAAATTATAGCCAATTTCCAATAAATAAAAATGTCAAGTAACTCAGGCCAAAGTTTTCTGAATTTTGTACCATCTTATCAAATAATTGAAAACTCAATTTAATAATTTCTAGAAATTATTCTAGTATGGCAGAATTGTTGAAGTTGGTTTGTGCAAATTTCCATGGTAATTTTCAGTACAAACTCAAATGTGACATACATAATTCAGACTCAAAGACATAAAAAAACAACTTAAAGAACCACAAATTAACCATAATATCTACTATCTGAAGGTATTTCATGAGGAAAATATGAAATTTGACTCTACATTAAGTATACTGGAGCTAACTTTTAATTGAAAATTAGTGAAGATATTTATTTCTATCGTATTCTTCCTAATGAAACACCATATTTCAACATCCAGTAAAATAAATCTTATTCTACAGGAGGTTTCTGTTCAGGCTACCAATATCTTTATTTGAAATAGGAAATAATTCTGCAAAGCAAAGGCCTGCCTTTTTCATTATTAATTTTCATCTCTTGAATCAGAATAAAAAAAGGAAACAAACATGGAAAACTCTACAAAAAAAGCGTTAACAAAGTGTCATGTGAGGGATATTTTCAGTTTTAGGAATCCAGCTTTACTTCCAGCAAAATCTATTACCTTGACGATATGTCGGAACAAATATTGATGTGACTGTGTCGTGGTACAAAATTGAGTCTGCTAATGTTTGACTGATACAGACATATCAAGATAACCATAAGAAACAATCATTATCTTCTTCAAAGGATGATGTGAAATTGTTTTGGCAGAGATTTTTTGAGGAGTCTAAAAATCTAAAAGTAATGTCTGCTTAAAATAAATTAATAAAACGCTGGCATGAGTACTTCTGAAAGTGAAAAATCGTCATTAGAACACAGAATCTGCTCAAAAATGATAGGCGAATAACTACCGTTGATATAGGAAAAGGACAACAACAGGTTCATGAAATTCAACACAAATGTTGTGTTGAATTTCATGTTCTGCACCGCCGAGCTGTGCAGAACAAGATCACACTTCTAGTGAGAAAGTTTTCGTCAAAACAATCTGTAGATGCAAGAAATAATTAGACAAAGCAACGGATTACTGTATCACACAGGAAAAGTGTGGCCATAATTAGGGTTAATGAACACGTACAATTCGTTTATGAATTCTGCAATAAAGAAAAAAGCTCCAAAGGATGTACAGAGGGACAGTTTCAAGTGTGGAGACGACCTGCGAATGAAGTGAATCATCATTTCCATGGTTTCAAAACGAAATCCTCAGTCTAATGGAAGTTACCTGGCTTATGGTTTGGATTAAGAAATATGTTATACAGTCAGGTCTTGAATTGATAGAAAGTCACCGTTGTCTGCTTAGATAAATGGATAGTGTATGATTCATATGTAAAACCAGACCATGAAATTGTCGATTACAGCACCTAACTAACCCAAATCAAGGTTAGGTTAGGTTAGCAGCCAGAAAATTAATGTGAACTATATATTAAAATTGCAAGGGGACAGTACTAACTACAATTAACATATAACATTACTCAAATCTTTTAACTGGCCTGTTATAGCTGAAAAACCTTGAAAATGTAATGAGACCTATACTGAGTGAGGAACGGAGGAAGTTATTCTCCTTTCACCGTTTGGCTCATAGTGGTTATTGTCCATTTCCAAACATATCGTTTTGATTTGACGTCTTAATTATTGGAAACTTGCTATAGATAGGTGACTTGCAGAGATTAAAAAACCCGTTATAGGAATTTCAAAAAAGTAGTTAAGAGTTTGGTTAAGTGTATTTAAATCACACAGATTATGTTGAAGAACGAATGTTTAATTTTCATGAAAATTAACAAAAAAGTAAATCACAGCCATATTTCTAAAAACCTTCCTTGCACTACTAACTTTATGACAGAAGAAATTTTCTCGAGATGTATGTCATTTCATCTATATTGATCATTTAGAGGTCATCTTTCAATCCTTAAATATAAACAATAGATATTGGAAGACTAAGAGAAACCTATCAAAAATATATTTTACTCATTGTTGGATAATAAATTATGGTTAAATTGTTGTTAACATCAATTTAGAAATAACTTATAACCTAGAAAATTGAAAAGTAAATACGTCAACACAAGTTTTGCGCACAACCAATAGGAGAAGTATGAGTATATCATTAACTACACACTTTGATTGGAAAGCATATTCAAATATATATGGTACATTCTTGTAATGAACTTAAGCTATTCAATCCGTTACGTAAAAAAACAGTATACAATAATACAAGAAAATACTATATAACTGTAAAATATAATCCAACCAACAACCTAATGAAACATATTTGAAAGTAAATAACATAAAAATAAATAAATACATATTTCTATCATCAAATTCGGTCAAACTGTTCCTAGCCCCGAAAATAAAATTGCAAATCATTAGTTAAATGTCAATTTTGAATGAGTATATGGTTTCATTATTCATACAGAGAATTTTTTTCATACTAAAACCAAAAGTATTTCGTACTTTATAGTTTATTAATGAATGTGTTCAAAAATCAACAAGCCCTTAATGGAATTTTAATTTTCTTGTGCCTTGAAACAATTTTTAGCTGTGAATTTCAAATATTTTCATGTGTAGTTAAAAAAATTTTTTAGCTTTTTTTTATAGACAAAACTATTAAGTACGACAAGTTACTGGTAAATAGAAAATTTTTCTTTGTGAAAAATACTTTAAGCAATAACTCATCACGGTGAGCTGAAAAGTTTCCTTGTATAAAGTTCTCGATTACAATTTTTATATTTTTCAGGAAAAAAAAATGGTTGATAAAAAATCTGATTTCTTTCACCAGAAATGACTTTCTATCAGTCAACTTTACGACAAAAGTAGTATGGACTGCCTGTTTGCTAGTATATATCACAGAAATCATGAACTTAATATCCAACAACTAGAAAGCATTTCATTTTTGAAGGAATGAACATCACATGCTTGGTGCAGAATTCACGTATACGGCTAGAGCGGTTTCCAAAAAAGAGTTTAAATTAAGTTTGCAATTTTGTCAATATCCTGTTCGAAAGACCCTGCAGAAGACACTGAATATCTTGACTTGTAAAGGCCCTCTGAAACACTGTATGGCACCCCAAACAGTAGCTTCAAAAAATAGAATAGACTAGATAAATTCATATGAATATAATTATACGTATCAATATGTAATAAAGAAAAGAAATTATGTCTATCACCAGAAGATACTTGTTTTAATGCAATTTTGGGAAATTACCATGATACCATGATCTATACAATAGCGTATCACGGTTTTTTAAACACTCTTATGGCGAAAATTTTGCAGAAAATTGTATCAGTTACTGGTAATATCAATTTTCATTGAGTATAGGCAAGTTTTATGTCAATCTTTTTCTGATAATCAGTTTTGAAGGATAGTATGTCCCTGATATGTTTAATTCGACCTTTTGCATTACCAATGATTTTTACATCTTCGAGTACAGAATCACAGAAAAGATGCTTTCTAGTTATAAAATATTCATTACAAACCCTATGATACATATGCAGAACATACAGATATTTTACCTTTAAATATCTATAAGGTCAGATTTTTTCCTTTTGGAGATTCCATTCCGTTAGAAGAAAAAGTAAATATACGATGTATTGATGCTACCATTGAATCTCATTATGAAAAATTTTGCTGTGAACCTTCCACCAGAGGTGTCATTTATTCTGAAAATACTTCAAGTTAGGTTAGACTGAGACCATGAACGAATAACTCAAGTTCATCAAATTAGGCACCTAAAAGAAGTTTTATTTAGAACGACGGATTTCAACCAAATGGACAAAACCACAACAAAACAGCAACCATGTTGATTTCGACAAAACAATAACTTGAGTTGTCAAAATAAGAAACATTTTGAAGTATTTGTGTCGCAGGCGACTGTTTTTATCAACAATGAAATGTTCCGTCGGCAGGCGGAAAGATCAAAAGGTTTCAGTGTTTTGTCTGTGTTTTTGTAAACTGAGGTCGCTATGTGGAAACAATCAACCACATTATTCCTTTATTTAAAGTGTTTTTATCTGTTTGTTGAAAGTTTATGTTCTTGTTTGTTATCGAAACTAAAACAGGTTTTTTTGTTAAATTGATGGATGTTGCCGTTACTATGTGGAAAAGAGAATTGAAACTTTGAAATATTCAATTCCCTAGTTAAACTTTACATCTAACAGAAAAAATTTCATGCAAGTAATAGAATGAGAAAATCGTATTTTTTTTAGTGAATTCTCAAAGATAACAGAAATTTGTAAAATTACACAAAGAACGATCGCTGACAAACCTTCATTATCGACCTGACAACAAAATAGCGTGAGCACATTAAAGATGTCCTTAAAATATTTATAAAAATAACAACAAGGAAACTCTTAATACCAATAAAACAAGGAAAGCAGAAAAACTAAAAAGAATCATTCTGACTTCCATACTCAGACTCACTTTCAGATTCATCGGAGCTTGAGGAATCAACTTCATAATGTAGTTTCTCATCTGGATCATAATAGACTTCTGCTCCTGGAAAAATGTAGCGGCTTGGAGGGATTAAATGGAAAGAGTTTTCCGGCAATCTATCAGCTAAACTTTTCTTCACTTTAGGTTGCCAATAACCCCTTAAATCCGAGACGCTTTCTCTTGCGCTAGGGTCCGACGTAGTTGATGGGTTATTACAGATCTCCAGACAAAAACTGCTTTCCTTTTCATCGTAGTTTTCATCAGATTCATCGTACTTATCGGTGAAGTTGGAGTTTTCTCCGATACCCGAGTCTCTAGCCGAGTCTATACTCATGTGTCTTTCTTTTACCATTTTGAGTTCATGTTCAGCATCTCCATCGCTTTTAATTGACTGGTAGTTTTCGTAACATATACAATTTGTTAACTCTATTTCTTTTTCTAAATTTAAGGAACTAGTATTTGTACTTGTATTATTACACGTGCATTTGGTTATCTCTGACCTGCACCTCGATTTGTTTTCTGTAGAACTTGGTTCAGTAATGCTTTCGCTTAAAGTGTGCTTATCAGCTTTGTCAGGTGGATGAGGATCTTTCAGTGGCAATAGCGTGGGAGCATGATGGAGTATCTGAGAAGAGTGGTTACCTTCCTCCCATTTATTTCCCAATCTGAAACAATATTTTTCCAATGAAAAATGCAGTCTACCAATGAGACTACAGTAACATAAGAATGATAATAAATGATGATTTATTTCTAAGAAAGTACAAATTATATAGAAAATGAGGACACAATATTTATGAAGCTATATCAGAAGCATTTTTTTCCTCATCGGCGAATATTGATTTTCATCACAATTAAATCAACAAAAAAGGTTAGGTAGGTGGACAGGTCTAAAGTAATTGGACCTAGTGAAGAATAATCCTCTCTAATGATGACAGAAGACGGTACATTTTCTAAATCTAGTGAGGATGGGAGGTCTGCCTACGATTTCTTTCATCATCAACTAGGTAAGCAACACAAATGAGTGGAAGCAGGGCTTTTGTATGATTTGAACCTGACCCTAATAATAATAATAATTGAACATGACTTGATCATATTTACTCCATTCACAGTTTGCTGTAAGTGCAATTTGTTCTTTTCATGTTTTATATTTCTAAGTGTCTTTGTAAACTTTGTCAATAATTATATTTTGAGAACAATTGGGGTCCTTTGGTCAACCTTCATATTCTCTGTAAATTCAAGTCAACAGCTACTAAGAACTGATTTTTTGTTACTACTATACATCAACTGCCCCACAAGTCGCTAGGGAAGTAAGGTTCATGATGACAGAGCCTCACATGACTACAACAAGGCACGGATATAGATACCTTAGTCACTTATGAGGACTCTTACCACCACAAGTAGCATTTCACTCGGCAGGGATGTATGTGAGAGAGAGAGAGAGAGCGAGAGAGAGAGAGCGCGAGAGAGAGAGAGAGAGAGCGAGAGAGAGAGAGCGAGAGCGAGAGAGAGAGAGCGAGAGCGAGAGGGAGAGCGAGAGAGAGAGAGAGCGAGAGAGAGAGAGTGAGAGAGAGAGGAGAGAGATTGTGAGAGAGAGAGTGTGTATGAGAGAGAGTGTGTGTGTATGTGTGTGAGAGAGAGAAAGAGAGAGAGTGTGTGTGTGTGTGTGTGTGTGAAAGAGAGAGTGTGTGTGTGTGTGTGAAAGAGAGTGTGTGTGTGTGTGTGAGAGAGAGAGAGAGAGAGAGAGAAAGTGTGTTTTTGTGAGAGAGACAGTGTGTGTGTGTTTATGTGACTGTGTGTTCTGAAGTATGACGATGGTATGAAAACATTCGTCAATGCTATCTAAAATTGTTTCCGAATCACAGCTGTGACTTTACCAAAGCATACTATATGTTTTGGCAGGCTGTTTTCCAACACTGATGCTATTTTTTTTTAATGCACATGATAATGTGATCAAGTTTAAAAGTACTATCTCTGTTAACCCCTAAGAATTTAGTTGTTTTCTTTTCACAAGATCTACTCAAAGTAGCATATTGGAAAGTTCACATTTACAAGAAAAGATATCAGTCAAAATGGTTTAAACTTTAGCGGCTGAGGTTTTCAGTGTCACTATTTTTCGAGTGACGCCTTGAACCGTTTCCTAAACCACTTGAACGCCCAACAACAACGCATAAAATTCGCCATGGATATTGAGCAGGACCAACGGATAACTTTCCTAGATGTACTCGTAGGACGATGTGGTACCAGACTAACCCACAAAGTGTATCAAAAACCCACACACACAGATAGATACTTGCACGCACTATCGAACCACCATCCTAGCCAAAAGAGAGGAGTCAACTCCACTCTAACCGAACGGGCTCGGAGAATATGTGAACCAGAACATCTGAATAGGGAACTGAAATACCTTGAAGTGACCTTGAGATCGAATGGATACAGTGCCTCCGAGATCAGGAAAGCCATGAAACCGAAGAGCACCACGGTTCGAAAATCGAAAAAGGATCAAATGGTTGCACGCGCATATCTTCCGTTTATCTCTAGGGTCACGGACAGAATTGGAAAACTAATGGATAAACATGACATCGAAACAGTCTTCAAACCCACGAGGAAGATACAACAAAGCCCCAGGTCCGCTAAAGACAATGAGACCCATTATCAGCAGCAGGGTCTATCGCATACCGTGCACTTGTGGGAAGGTATATATCGGAACCACCAAACGATCCATGGGAACAAGACTGAAAGAGCAGAAAAGGAACTGCAGACTAGACCAAGCGGACAAGTCAGCTGTGGCAGAACACAATCTTAGTGAAGGAGACCACATAATTTTGTTTAAAAACACAGAACTAGTTGCCCCCAACCAGGGATACCATAGTCGACTGGTACGGGAGGCAACAGAGATCCACAAACACACGGAGAATTTCAACAGAAAAGAAGAAGCGGTGAACCTCAGTCGAATATGGAACCCCATTTTAAGGAATTCGAGAATAACGAACAGGACAACAGGCAGCAATATTGTTAATGTTCCAGGTTCAAGTACAGGTACAAGTGCATGTACAAGTACAGGTACAAATACAGTTACCAATACAACTAATTACCTGGCAAGACATAAATACACGAAACCTAAAAGTTAGTCATCAGACAGCAAGCCATGATGATTAAACCTCTGAAGAAACTAGGCGCTCGCGCCAGCGAAACGTCAGGAATAAATTCCAAAAATCCACGACTTTCAAACTCGAAAAACAGTGACACTGAAGGATATTAGTCTTTTTAATGTTCAGTGATAAGAGTTTCGCATCACACAACAGTTCTTGATTTTCATTAGATGTGTTGATTCTTGATTGGAGTCTTAGTGATCTTTATTATGCAGAAACAGAATTGTATAATCTATGAAGAGAGTATCTAGTCCAGTAAAACAGGATGGGACCTGAAACCGACTCTTGGAAATACCTGACATATCATTTAATTTGGAGAATTTAATATTTACAAACTGTTTTCAATTTCCTAAATATAATTTGAACATGAAGCGAAGAGAGTAACATTTTCAGATTTCTAGCCAGTTGGCCACCATAAAAATTGGATGGAGCCCAAAACCAACTCCATAAACTGTTTTCGATTTTCTAAATACAATTTGAACATTTAGAAGCCATATTTATTGAGCTTCTGCATTGAAACACTTTAGTTTACACTGTAAAAGTGTTTCTGAGAGGTCACAAAACACTGATGAGAGGTCTCACTTTTATTTGCATTATCTTACGTCATGTGGAGAAAAAAAGAATATATCACTCACACTTTTTTTACATGAAATCCAAATTGTTCTTTGGTGAGAATACTATTGATTGATGAGTGATCCATTAATTGAATTTGTACCAATCTTTCAATTATATTTGTTAATGTTGGTAACAAAGAAATAGTCCTAGAATTTGATGGGTCCTCAAGTTTACCACATAAATGTAGAGGAATTACTAGTGCCATTCGAATTTGAAATTCAATCAAATAAATACCATCCATGACTATAATACAAGACAATTTTGTATCAAATAGGTTTTGATATAAAAGATTTTATAGACATTGAGGTTGGCAGCAAACCAATTACAAAGAGCTGACATGTCTACATATGAAGAACATAGTTCTACAGTCATCCTTAATACTTTTCAAACTTATTATTGTTTCACAAACGTATGTTATTTCATTTCAATTAACCAAATATTTCATTTTCTTCTTATTATCTAATGACTTAATGTATCTATGACCTGTATCTATATGACCTGAAATGGCCTGATTAGATAAAGTCACCTGATTTTGAGAAAAATAATCGTGTAATTTCCCGGATTTTTCAAACTTACAGCTAGAATGACAACACATGTAGTTTATAGAAAATAAATATTTCAAAATAAAATCTCAAAATATTCATCTCTCCCAACTACCTACACTGTAATGTTCTGAAATTTAATGAAATGGTAAATGCCTGCCGTAAAACAACTACTCCCCCGGCTGATACCAAGCTAGATATTGAATTATATTCAACATACATTTATGCAAGATACCTCACAGAGGTTAGTCTCGCAGATACTTCTCATTCATCCAGCAGCAAAACCATGCTGAAATAATTCGATTAGATCAGCTACAGTCGAGTTTCAAGGTATTGCCATTCATCAGTGCAGGAAAGATCCAACCCAAAACAGCAAAGTGTCTGGGACTCAATTAGTTAAATAAGTTAGTTAAAGCTACTTCTGATATGCTTTTTGCTTTTGTTTACTCTATAACTATAATTTCGACTTACAGCTGACAAAGATGGCTGATGATGACATCACAATCCCCTAACAGTTCCACATCAAAGTGACAGTGAGGTAAAGGCTCTCTATTGATGAGAATTTGTGGAACATGTGCTGGCAAGGAGCTAGGAATGAGAGCTACTGGTCTAACTTTCAGCGAACTGCCTATAACCAGGAGTAGATCACATTCAGACTTGTCAGCAGCCATTGCTTCGTGAAAAGTGTCAGGAAGTCCTTCACCGAAAAAAACAATATCTGGTTTCATAATTCCTGAGCTTACAAGGTGTCTGAAGTCTCCACCGTCTGTGGGCGCTTTCAAGTCATCTGTGCAAATTGAACTCGTACTCCCTTCATGACATTTCTCGCACAAAGGGATCAGCTGGGCAAGCACAGTTTCCCTAATTTTATCTGCCGTCACTTTATAGCCGCATTTCGTACAAGTTGCAGTGGCAAATGATCCATGACATTCTATCACCCTCTGTATGTCGGCTTCCTTCTCCAATGTGTCTATATTTTGGGTGTAATTTCGAAGAAGTTTCTTGTGTTTCTCCAAAAGTTTTATAAACCTAAAAGAAAAAAAACCTATATTAGTTGATTACTTCAGGCAGACTGAAATCAATGAATTAAGTAGAATGGAAAATATCTCTTTATCAAAATTATTTTCTTATGGAGAAATATTTCGAAGTTATATTAAATAATTATATTTGTGGATAACAATTCTAACATTTACGAGTTAATCTGAAGTCAGGTCAATCCAAGAGCAACCTAGAGTAAATATGTTCCAAATGTAAAAAACGTTGATTATATCAATATCCAATCATGAATTTTATGTTCTTAGAATGTACTCTCTAGAAATAATATTTCTTTATTTATTCACAGTGATTTCAAAATCAATTTCCCTTTCGTTGTTTTAGTGACGTTTGTAATTGTCTACTATCTTACTATGACCATCTCATTTCAAACTTATATTATTGTCGTTCTCAATTCAATCAGTGAGAAAGTGAATAAAACTGCAGTTGGCTCTAGAATTCACAATAAAAGGCGGAACAAGAACCTTTGGCTAGAATAAATCCAAAACAAGTACTTTTACCGATCACGCGTTTGATGGAAAGTGCGTAGTGAAGAGTATTGTTGGAGTTCTGGTGATTGGGAAAAGTAATTGTTTTGGTTCCATACATAAAGAGTATATATTAATATATGTTATTTAACAAAATAAATTATACATGAAAAGCATATTGCCTACATATTCCATTTAAAATTCAAGTTTCGTAATTAAAAAATTCTTCTATGGTGTAGCAGTTTTTGCGGGGTAAGTGTTTTTTCAGGAGATTTTTGAAAATCATTAAGGAAGCTGCATTCTTTATGTGATCTGCCAGAGAATTATAGCATTAGCATCCAATATATTCAAAGTTTTTTTGATACCGGACGGTGGTATGCCGTAGAGAAGTAGTTTTATTCCTATTGGAAAAAATTTTATGTTAGTTCTAGGAAAATTTTAAATGAAAATCCAGTCATATCATCAAATGAAATAAAAATGTAAAATGAAAAATACCAGCTTGGAACCAGTTGCCAGAGACCAGCGCCGTTGAAGTTCCATTTAACATTAAATTTTCTGATTATTAAAAAAAGTGCGCTGAATTTCTAAAAAATGCCATTATTCAATCAATAAAGTCATAAAGTTACCTGCGAATATAAAACATAAAGAGAATCAGCATAAAAAACTGCATGACAACTTGCAAAAATTTCAAAATTAAGAGTTAAAAAATCAGCAAATTTTTTAAGCTATCAAGACTATGGAGTTAAAAAACAATTTGGTGTACCAGAAAATATTATTGTTTTTCTGTCTTGTGTCAAACCTGGACATTAAAATGAACTAGATAGAGGTTTCATGACAGACGAAATGAATAACCAAAAAATGGTATGCGGTATGACACTACAATCTCTAGAAATGGGAGCTTTCATACATATACGAGATATGACTCTCGTAACCATATTTGGAAACTCAACCAGACTTTCTATTTTTCGTTTGATTGTGCATATTCAATTCTGGTAAACAAGGAGACCATTAAAAATGATTTGAATTTTGAAAAAAGTTATTGTTGTGCCTCCAAGTATTACCATTCTAAAATGGTAATAATTTGTTGATTTTAGATACTTGTTCTACACAAAAGTACAAGTTAATGGGCTTGTTTCATGCTATTGTAAATGATATTAGTTTGCTTATAGACTGATCGAGTTAAGGGTATATTATACTTATCAAGCCTAATCGGTCCCAATACCTCTTTATATTTGCAGAAAAAAAAAATTCAAGAAGCAAGAAATTAAATTGTCTGCGTGTCTGTTGACCAATAAAATTAATTGTGTCTACAGCGGTGTTGCCAAGTGCCAATTATTTTAACAAAAATACGAAGTTTCCATTGAAACCAGTATCAAGTTGATGAAGTTAAATATCGTGGCGTTACTTTTGATAAAAAGTTGTCATTCTCATCCCATATCAATAAAATAACCTTAAAATCACTTATGCTTCTTGGATATTTAGATAGGATCGCTAAAGACTTATCCGCAAGCATATTGATAATTCTGTATCACTCATTGATTATGTCACATTTAGACTATGCATCCATTGTGTGGTGTCCCTCTCAATAAGTATACAAAGTCATTGAAAAAGATCTAAGATGAATTTTTGCGTAGTACTGTCTACAAAATGGGCATTCAAATTGACCAGTGACATAACTACACCGTTATTCTTTCTACACAACATCTAACCACACTGGCAAACAGAAGAATTCAGGCTGATCTAATATTTCTATTCAAATCATAATCAGGCCAAATCAATTACCCAGAACTTCTCTCTTTGGTTGGCCTGAGAGTCAAGCAAAGTATAACAAGGAAAGATAGATCCGTTTTCGTTGAGAATTCACATTCTACCAATTATGGATTCAATAGTCCAATGATATCTTTACTCACTCCTTAAAGGTCTTCAAAAAGTCTGCAGTCAATTATGTACTTACTCTATAGATGTATGCCTTGTATGTTTGTTAGTTTTTAGTGGTGGTGTTAATTATAATTGTTTTATTTAGCATTTAGTTTTTAGGTCGATTTTTATTTTATTTATTTCAATATTCCTACGAATTCTGTAACTATTTTTGAATTGAAGTATATTTTTATACATGTACATTTTACAACGTTGTAACTTAGGGATTTCCCGTTTATTCCGAACAAATAAATAAATGAATAAATAAATAAATAAACACAATTTCAGACGACTCTCGCCGTCTCAACGGAGCATGCCATCATAAGTACTATTTCAAAAATACAATGCTCTGAATTCAAAAACTTTTAAAAAGTAGGTTTTCTCACCTGTGACAAGGACTAGGCAGAAATTTTCCTGGATAAATATCTCTGGCGAATTTGTAAAAAGGTCTGGGATCTTGGCTGAAATAACTGATATCAAACATTGCCTGAGGGTCTGGAAGATTTGGAAAATCTATAGCTAATCTGGAGTAAATGCCATCTCTGGACCTGAAGTCTGGAATACCACAAGAAACAGAAACACCAGCACCTGTTAAAACAATTATATTCTGTGCACCTGAAACGAAAGTTTTCTTTGTACTTCCACTCGGGGTAAATAAAGAATGAATTTACCTTTCATCAAACGAACAATGTCATCTAATGTATTAACATGCCTCAGTTTATTTCTGCGAGGAGGTTCTGCTAACATGTTGATAATTATTTTCCATATTGTAATGTCTTCTACGTAATCCGGTATTTGTTCATAATCTACTCCTAATTCTGTGAGTAAGACCCTTGGATTAACACCTTTTTGCATTTGTTGCTGGATCTAAAAAATATATATTTTTAGTAGACTCTTCTTTTGAATTATAAAAAATATGGATTAAGAAAATATACCATTCTTTATTATTCTGTGAATTCGCCCGAAACATAACTCATTTCCTAATTTGTACCGAATCGTTGAGTTCCATAAGATCATTTCAAATTAAATTCACTCTTGACCCCCTTGTAAGGATTATTCTTGCCAGAATTCATATTATGAAGGAAAGCGGTAGAACTGTCAGCTTCATGTGTGTGCCTAGTCATTGTGGCATAAAGAACAATGAGAATGTGGGACAAGGTAGACAACAACAAACAAAAGTTGGTAATTCATTGTCAGCTCCATTGGAAGTGCAACATGGAGTTCCACAAGGAAGCATTTTGGGTCCGCTATTGTTTCTTCTATACATAAATGACATAAAGCATTACAATGAATGTGACTATATACACTTGTTCGCAGATGACACGTTAATATCAGTAACTGATAGAGATTTGAATAATGCCGTACAAAAGATGAATAATTCTTTAAATAGAATAACAGAATACCTCAAAATGAATAAATTGTAATTTAAAACAAAACAAATATATTAATACTATCGAAGGAGCTGCTAATTACTATATATAAGATTATACTTTGTGAATGTAGATTAGGATTACCTATTTCAAATAAAGATTATAAGGTAGCTAGAATGATTGCTAACTCTAACGAACATGAAGATATACCACTCCATTTAGAAAATCAGAAGAATTTCAATAAAATCAAAGAAGAATCTGACTGGCAGACTCTTTGGAATGAAACTGACGCGAAACTGAAATGTTCGAAACCAAGTGTTAATAAGCGAATCTCACCACTGAAATTGACCAGGAAACAACAAGTTGTTCTCACACGTCTGCGAATGGGCCATACAAAAATGAAACACCTTTACCTACTTGCTCCTAGGAGAACAACAACCTCTATGTACTACATGCCAAACAGTACTAACAGTACCACTTATACTTGTAGAATGTCCAGAATATGAGGAAACCAGGAGACAACATAATATAATTGGGGCAATGAAAGAAATTCTATGTGATGATAGACGAACGTTGAGCAACTTGATGGCATCTTTGAAAGCCGCAAATATAATTGATAGAATTTGAAAAACAAATAAGTCCGCGGCTAATAACCTAGCAGTTGATGCCGCAAAAAAAAATAAATAAACTGGAACTTACCCATATCATACTGCCAGCCATAGGTTTCCAGTCTTGACCTGATAAATCTGATAAACCACTGAGTTCACTAACTGTGGAAGCATTATCTTCGTCTTCGAGACTGTCCTGAGATGTGTCCAATTGGTCAGGATGTGAGCGAGTTGGCAGAAATGTTTCGGAAATACTTGACATACTTTCGTTAACATATCCTGAATCTGGAGGCGGAGAAGCCTGTTGATATGAATGTGTAGGAATGGATTCAAGTGTCGATGCTTCGTATCCTGAGTCACAGTCGGGAGAAATTCCTGTAAAAGAGAAATATGTGCCNATAGCTGAAGAACTGAATATTACCCATGTCACAGTGTGGCAGATTTTAAGAGCCCAGCAGCTATATCCCTATCACATGGAACGTGTGCAAGTTCTATTGCCCAGAGATTTGCCTGTAAGACTAGCTTTTTCTAATTGGTTACGCGGTAAAATAAGAAGAAATCCAGGTTTCCTAAGTCGAATATTGTTTACAGATGAAGCTTGTTTTTCTCGCAATTCAATTATTAATCAAATATTAATCAATCACATTTGGGCCGAAAACAATCCACACGCCTTGATAGAAAATAATTTTCAAGAACAGTTTTCTTTTGATATTTGGGTTGGAATTGTCGATGACCATCTCATTGGGCCTCATTTCCTTCCATCTAGACTCAATGGAGAAGAATACCGAAGGTTTTTAGAATTTGTTTTACCTGGACTTTTAGAAGAAATTCCAGTTATGGAAAGATTCCGTATGTGGTAGATGCACGATGGTGCTCCACCACACTTTAGTGTAGTGGCACGGCAATTTTTGGATGGAAATTACCATAATCGCTGGATTGGGAGTGCAGGCCCACACCCATGGCCACCTCGCTCGCCGGAAATGCATCCCTTAGATTATTTTTTCTGGGGACACCTTAAAGCGTTGGTATACAAAACTGCTATTCAACAGAACAGAAAATACTGGAGCTTCATATCAATGTGGTTGGAAAAAATGTGTTTGATTCGATAATATATTTTTGAGGGGAACTATGGAACGGCTTCAAATTTTTAAGGACAATGACATTAATGTATATGCTAATGAAACGACTAAGTTGCTTGGACTAACAATCGATTATAAATTGTGCTGGGAACCACACGTCAATATACTTTGTAAAAGGTTAAGAAAAAATTGTTATGCGTAAAAGTTCTTATCAAATCATTGCCACGAAAACATACTATCAATCGTTTATTATGCAAACATCAACTGTCATCTGCGATATGGTATTCTTAACTGGAGTACATGTACCTCTTGGTCACGTGTTTTAGCTCTGCAAAAATTTGCTGTAAGAGTTGTTGCAGGACAAAATTGGAGGCAGTCATGTAGAGATGCTTTTAAGCGACTAAAGATTTCAACTGCGACAGGCTTGTATCTGTATGAACTGTGTATATATGTATACAAACATAAAGATAATTTTTTCAATAGAACAGATCATCAATATGGCACTAGATCCACAAATCTTCTTGTGCCTGCTTGGCACAGAACTAACCTATACCAAAAAAGTCATTTATATTTGGGATGCAAAGTTTTTAATCACCTCAATGTCTTTTATTATTATTATTATTTGTCAAATATTCTCAAGTGTATCATGACAATGTCATAAATTATTGTAACTGTCAACTACTGTTCGAATATTTTTCAAAATGCCGTTTTCCCATCAAGAAAAATGTGATATGTTAGAATCCTATTTGGTTTGCCAGAAAATGACTTTTCCGATCGTGAATTATCTACTCGGCGTTTTTTGCTGTGCTTCATTGTCGATTCAGGAACAACGAAAAAGGTTTTGACAAGAGAAGAACTAAAAAACAGAAATTGGCGTTTTAGCCTACTTTGAAGTAAATCCAAACACTTCCATCAGAGATTCATCTAGAGAAATAGATGTTCCACTTTCTGTTATAAATGCAGGCAAGATCCAAACTTCTATCGAAATATTATATGGAGTGATGAGGCTAATTTTTCAAATTGTAGGATGTATAATAGAAATTATTTTCATTATTGGAGTAGACATAATCCATTTCTAGTCCATCCCCACAATCCGCAAAGACGATTTAGTATTAATGTTTGGTGTGGTCTATTTAGAGGCAGAATTGTCGGTCAATTTTTTCCCAAGGCTCTTTGAATGGACCCCGTTACGTTAATTTATTAACAAGAGTGTTGGAAGAGTTTTTCGATGATCTTGATCTGAAGGCTAGTCAGATTATCTGTTTTCATCAGGATGAAGCACCAGCACGTAATTTCAGTGGTGTAAAAAGAATGTTGCAAGACTGTTTTGGAAACAAATGGATTGCTATAAATTGTCCTGTTAAGTGGCCTCCTCGTTCACCAGACATGACACTTCTAGATTTTATTTTTGGGGATTTCTGAAAATGAGGTGTACGAAATAAAACATAATAATGTAGATGAGTTGAAAAATTATATTGAAACTATAATTCATGGAATTGATGGCCGAATTGTGCTGAAAGCAACACGCAGTGTCAAGAGAAGGGCCCAAATATGTGTTCAACAAAAAGGCGGTATTTTTGAATATTTACTCGATATTTTATAGCTATTTATAGCCAAAACAAAGAAATTTTTCATACTAGTGAAAAAAATAAATATTTCCACATAAGTCGTTCATTTTCAACTTTAGGAAGAAAGGTGATATTAGCTTTGTTCTTGAGAATGTTATTACGAATCGAAATGTATGATAAAATATAGGGTGTTCCATATTATATGAAATATTTTGAAAACGCGACTGTCAATTTTTTTTGTTTTCGGCATCGAGATCATCAAAAATACTATAGTTTGCCCATTTAACTGAATTCGTAGCATCAATAATAACGCAGTTGGCAATGGTGTCGATTTAATTTGGAACACCCTTTATAGTATGATAAGGTTTCTACCGCTCCATAAATTCCCCATCCCTGTTAGAAGGTATTCTAGAATGAGGGATCCCATATGAACACCATATTTTCTTAAATACTGAGTTTACTTTATATTCTGAAAACGCCAATTGGACTGGTGAAACGCGAGTCAAAAAAATTATTGCATTTCTGGTTCCACCAACGGTTCCAGTTCTACCTTTCACAGTTTCACGTTCATACAAAGTAAGAAGCATGAAGTTAAAAATTATAGTAATTTTTGAAATTATTACCAGCTTTATTTGATTTATGTAAGATTGAATAGAACCGACTAATTCTTGATCAAAAACCATACCAAAACTTATGAATATTCACAATGAAAATCTCACAGAAAACTGCTCAAAAATTGTAATAAAAGATTATTTATTTATATGTTTTCAATTAAGACATCTATATTTACAACGTTGCTCTTTTTTTAATGTTCCATTGCAACCAATATTAGTTTTAGCAACAGATACATCCAAAGTATAATATTATTCATAATTACATGAAATATACATCTAAAAAAATATATAAAATCAATACTTCAAAGAATTATTATTTTTACCTACATACCTACTTGTATATATCCAACTCTCAAAAATGTATACTCATATAAACTAGAAATAGCTTGAACCGAGAAAGTAAATGTCTATATCTGTCTTCAAGAATAAAAATGCTAGAGATTTTTCTCCAGTTTGCATTTGAAAAAAAACGTCTGTGCTGATCTACACATCTTTGTATTTTTTATTTATCTGTTCAATTTTCTGCCTTTTTTTTGTAGTTCCCAATTTTTTATATATCCATGGGGAAGTAGAAAGCCAAGTGTTTTTCTCAAAAAAATATTTTCTTTTCAATAAAAGAAATTTTAATATGAATATATGAAAATGTCCACTGGTTATCTCAATAAATTTATAAATTGTTGATATAAAAATTGAAAAGGATTTGTACTTATCACAGTGCCTACTTATTGAAATAGTCAAGATAAGTACTCCTACCCAGAAAATGTTAACCTTCAAATGATTTGATACCCTCTTATTCAAGATCTGGGTAAAAATTATAGATAACAAGTACAAGTACAATTACAATATGTATTGATAGACCTATCTTTGTAAACGAAAAATTACTTTCTGATACAATTCCTGATGAACCCATATTAAAATTGATGCACTAAGGGTTTAGTGCAAGCCAACCTCGTTAGACATGAACTTTCCAATTGGAGTTGGTGGAATTGGTTTTTCTAATCAAAGAGTTTTATACTTCAGAAGTATGCTGACAGAAGTTTTGAAGTCGAAGGAAACTCAGCAACGAGATGCCATGATGAATGAAATAAAAACGTTCAGTTTCTAAAGGAAAAGAATACGACTGCTGAAAAATAAGAATCATGATGAGTCCAAAGTTGAAAAAAATGTGAATTTGTGAAAAAAAGAAAAAAGTCAACAACTGGATAGATCATAAGATTTTATGATAACGTAATTTATTGAAAATCAAGAAAGAAAAGTAGCGTAACAAAGTGCTCCATTTCAGCTGAGTACGTTGTATTGTTTGAATTTGTGAGTGGAGCAAATGTAAGTGAAAAAGAAAATCTGAGTTGTATGATCAAAATGCTTTCATGTTGCTTGGCAATAATCATGCAAAAAATCATCATGATTAAACGAATGGTGTGAAGAAATACTCAATATTAAAAAAGTCATATTAAGAGAGAGAGATACACGTGTCATAAGAAATACAACTTGTCGACAAATATTTTTTGCTGAAAAAATAACTAAATATTAATAAAATATAATAGATACCGTTCGCATCCTGTATCACAAAATATTATAAAGAAATATTTTTATTACTTGTGAAACATGAATAATTAACAATCTGAAGACAGTGGGCATTAGAGAAACTACTTTAGCCACTACCATGCAACTCCACTGACCACTATATAATTAAGTTCTCACTCCTGCCAGCAAGATAACAGTGCAACAATTTTTACAAGGTAACTTGATTAAAAATACAAATCCGAAAAAAAAAATGTCAATCTGAAAACAAATATAATACTGATCTGTATCATTCATGTATATTTACCAAACAAATCATTTCAAATGTATGCCCACTATTATGTTTCCATTATCATTCTATTTTATGAGAATCTCAGGACAGTTTGTACACATTCATGAATACCCTATGTGCTATCTTATCTCAAATTGATAAGACAGCAAAATAATTTCATATCTTACATTCCACAATAACCTGCAAATTATAATAACACGTCTATCATCCTGAGTGTCGGCAGTCATGCTTCATACTTAGCTGTGATTTTGCACCTTCAACAATCTTTTTGATATAATAGTGTGAACATTTTTTTCTTCAC